CCGTTATATTTGAGTAAGGCCTGAATGATTATGGGAAGAGAGTAAATTACAGAAGAACTCTGACGTAAAGAACTAGTCGATAACATTTAATTAAAGAGATATGGCCTTGAAAGGTTGACCGATTGGTGGCCTAAATACAGAATGGAAAGTTACTAGCAGGAAATCACAAGTCTTCAAAAGGAAAAGATTCAATGGAAAAGTTTATCACGTGTTTAATTCGAGTGTGAAACAGAGAAACAGAAGAAACCCAAAAATAGAAAAGAGAAAGCACAGAGAGAAATGATCTAATATTACGGGATTGAATTATTATTGAAAACCAGAGGCAACTAATATGTTATAATATAAAACGCCTAGACCTACAACTACCCGCCACCTACTGACCCCATATCACCATCATCATATATATATATATATAGTATATCATAATAATAATATAGATCCATCAGTAAGGATGGAAATAGCGAACGCCAAGAAGAGAAAAAATAGAACGTTCGTATAACCTACCGCAGAAGGAAGAGAAAGTTTTGCCACGAACGATTAGACGAAAACCGAACGACTAATCAGCAAGGAAACCAACTAATAAATTAAAAGTTGGTCTAACGACAGTTACTGTTTAAGAAGGAGAGCATAGAAACTTTTCCAAGTGATTGATGGAGAGTATCAAATATCTTAGGTTTAGGCAAAGACTGGATTTCTTGGTCATTGGAGAAAACGAGACTTCATCTCTGACCCATAATCGACTCAAAGCACGCGTACGCCAGGTCTCATGTTTTGGATTTTCCTATCCGTCTGGCCGTTCGCTTGGAGTAATAAGCTGAACAAATATCTTCAACTGGTTGCCCAACTTACTCTTCAATGATTGTACAGAACTAAAAGATGAATTTGAAAAGCTCTACCTGAATTGCTACTAGATTGCATTCTAAGCAATCCAACCACTTCCCTGCTGTTGTGTGGAACCAATCTTTTAACATTTACTTCTCAACTGAATGAGCATAACGCACATACCCTCGGTCAAACCGTCCCTTACCTACTTATTAACATTATAGCCTTATGACCATCGATAAAGGTAATTGGATTAAGTTCTTGGTAATTCTATCTCGGGTCATGCGATCTCGAAAGTTCTACCTTAACCTTTTGAATATCTCATTCACTAATTACACAAGACACGGTTAACGATTTATTCTTTTTTATAAAAAAAACTAAATTATAATTAAATTACTATTTTTTAGTACTATATTATTTGGCGTAATTTACAAAAATTTGGATAATTCTGAATAAACCTAAAAATTGATACATTAGTGCTATTCAAGCCTCGATTAAATAAACAACCTACCCATACAAAATAAATTCACACTAATAATTTTGAAATTAATAAGTTGAGTTTGTTTGTCTTGAAAGTAATAATTTTTAATTTGATTTTATAAAAAAAATTCATGGTCTTTAATGCCTATTGCATTGGGCCATGATTAAAAGAAAGACAGTGAGGCACCCAAAATGGTTCTGTACTAAATCCCGATTGAAAGAGAAGCTAGAAGAATGGGCATTACCATTTCGTGTACAAAGGACGTAGAAGGATCCTCTACTCATGGACATAATCCAGAAGAAGCTTGGAAATTTGCCCTAAAAGCCCCCCGCTTTCAAGCCCCCAACCTTTCACCCCTTCCTCTGATGACCAACCCAAGACAAAACCTGTATCGATTCCAAAACCCCGAAGAACTCGAAGACCTCGAAGACGACCTCGACTGATTATCGATTCCTCCAAGAATTAGGTTCTCTCCTTTCCCCTTTTTGGGTTTTTTTCAAGGTTTTTGCTTTCGTGTGTTGGTTTTGTTTTTCTCTCCAAGGTGGAACACCTCAGATTGAACACAATTTGAAGCTTATAAGGATTTTGTTGATGTGACTCTTTTGTAGGGGGGGGGGGGGGGGGGTTGTTGGCTTAAGAAACAACTGTATAGACTTGATTTGGTGTGGTTTTATTTTATTTGTTGATGAGTATCAACTGGTTGGGGAATTGGTGTGGATTTTGATATTTTAAAGAGCAAATTTACTGCCTTAGGAGTCGGTTTAATTACCCTTTTGTTCCATATTTTGTATGTTATCAATACTATTTTTTAGGTTTTTTTTCTGGATTAACATTTAATGGTGAATTAAAGTTAAGCGAGCCTATTTTTCGCTCTTGTTTTATGGCTTTTTTTGCGCTGACTTTACTTGAAACGTAGGACTAAAATGAAGATTCTGAGAAAGCAAACAATTTGGTTTACCCACTTCGTGTTGTGTTTTATTCTACTTTGTTCTTTCATTGAATCATTTTGTTGTGACAGGAAGAAGATGTTGGCTGAGATTCAAGAGGCCTCAGCTAAAGTACTTAGGTTTGGATCTGTGATTCCTATTTCAGGATCTGATTTTGTTCGAGAGGTGTCACAGGCTCCATCTGATGTTTGGGTGGTTGTCATCCTTTACAAGGATGGGTATGATTTGATTTTGGAATTTCTTTGATTCTATAATCTATAGCTTTTCAGGGTCATGTTTCTTATGGTGACTGTTTATGTGTTTTTGACAGGATTCCTGAATGTGGCTTGTTGATGCAAAGCATTGAAGAATTGGCAAGAAAATATCCTGCAACAAAATTTGTTAAGATAATATCTACAGATTGTATCCCAAACTATCCAGATCGAAATGTTCCGACTTTATTGGTTTATAACAATGGGGCAGTTAAAGGAAATTACGTGGGTCTGCATAGTTTCGGGCGAAGATGTACTCCTGAAGGTATTTATGTCTAAAACTGCCAGCCTCGTAGTTTTATGTTCTTTTATTTTGATGGAATTAAAGGCCAAGCTTTCAGAGGAGTTTCTAACAATAAGTGATGCAATTTTTATGACATACTAGAACTAGTTTAAAGGTTTTTGCTTCCAGTGTGAATGTAATCCTCATCAATTTTGTTAAATAATTGTTATAGTGCTGCCATAAGACTATAAGGAGGTGTTCTTCAACCCCTCTGCCACAGGAAATCTGTGAAGGGAGGCCAACTATCAGCACCATGGACCACAATGGTCTTTTTTTATGGTGAAATGTTGGCCTTCATCTGCCACTGATGACCGATGACCTTGATCCTGATAACTATCTGCCTAAATAGTCAAATTTTGTTTTGGTCTACATCATTTTGATAACATTATTACATTTAGGTAGTGTTTGGTTAGCTGCTCTGTGGCTTTCCTTCTCCTTAAAAGGAGGAGGAGCTGACACTCTTTTCATAAAAGCTCTTCAAAATTGAAGTAGCTTATTGTTTTAAAGGAGCTTAAGATCTGCTTTTGCGGATCTTTTTTGGCAAGATTACAATTCGAATCCAATCTTCATCTCTTTTCGGTTTTCTTTTCTCGAAACAAGTTGGAAACCTAAACTTCTTGACCACTTGACTCTCGCTGCACAGCAAATTTCCTCCCAGTTATTGCAGTTCTCTTGCGTTACACTGTTATTGTTGTGGTGTTTAGACCTAAGGTACTGAGATTTTCATGTTGTTTGTTGGTTTAATTTACTGACATTGGATTCCTTGTTCTTGGTTTTGTACTCTGTTCTCTGTTTTGTGTCATTGTTGTACTCTTTGATGGCAATGTAGGAAGTTAATAATGAGAAAGCCACGTGGCAGCCACTTGGAGCAAATGAGTTTAATTCTGTTATGATTTTCTTTATTGCATTGTTAGTTGGTGCAATGCACATCTATAAATAAGCAACCTCTAAAGAGAGCTGAGGCATTCTGAATTTTCAATCAAACACTTTTTGTAATCTTTCCTCAAATCAATATATTTCTTTGGATTCTATTCATTCATTGGAATCCCTAAAGTTCTGTAGTTCTTCAAATAGTTCCTATTCCTAGTTCTACCTTCACCAAATGGTATTTCTCTTTAATTTTTGAATTGTGACTCTTTTTCTCTTAGTCTCTACCCTTTAGTTTTGGTAGTCATGCCAATGTCATTGGCCCTCCATTGTCTCACACTCCACACCTCATTCTTTGTAGACAAATTTTGTGTCAATCCACTTGATTGACTAAGTAGGTTATTTTTTTCTACCGAATCGCTTTTACCTTAAATGAAATTTTAGGTTTGTAAAAGTGTTAAGATTTAATTACAAGGTATGACTTAAGAATTCCACACTAAATTAAGAGATTCTACAATGCATGTTCTAAAGCTTTGGGCTCTCCAACTAAAAGAGCTAGCTTTTGTGGTATTGTTCCTCTAAGGTTCTTTAATAAAAGAATATATAAAGCAAAGTAGCAAACAAAGAACTATTTATTTATTTTTTTGAAGTTGTTATTTTTCCTTTTAATTTAAAGGAGCTGCTATATTTAAAAAGAAGAAAAGATAGAGCAAACATCAATGTTGTATTTTGTTTTCTTTCTTGCTCATCTATATATAGTCTCCTTGCCACTTGAGATGTAAATTAGTAAACATGTAACCATGTCATTACTACCCTACTAATTTGTAAGATTAGCAGTGCAGACATTGTTGTTTTTACCTTATTTAGTACCCCATCATTAAATTTGTTGCTTTTACCTTTGTTAGTGCCCCATGATTAGATTTGTTGTTGTTTTTACCTTATTTAATGTTCCTTCTAGGTATGACAAATAAACCTACAACCCGTGGGTATTGACTGAATACAAGTATGAGTATAGTAATATCTTCTTCAATTGGGTATGAGAATGCGGATGGATATTCGTGCGTCCCGTTTATATATAACACATACACACACACAAATATATATATATATATATATATATATAAAAGATTTTCTATTTACATATGTATGTATGTATATATACATATGTATACTTCTTTTCACAACTTTTGTACAATTATGTTCAAATGTATGTCAATTAAATATTTTTATGTCTCATTTGAATATTTATAATTTTTTAATATTTTTATTTAATGTGTATTTTTTGACATGAAAATATTTAACTCTCAATATAAAAAAATTATCTTTATTATTTTATTATTAATTTTTATTTTATTTGAATAACTTTTTTTGCTAAAATTAATTATCGCTATCTCTCAACAATTTAAATAGGTTAATATTTGAAAAGTTTTATTAGATCTTTAAGGTATTTTTAATTTTATCATACTCTTAATTATAAATACGTATTTGTTGTGTAATTTCTAACTCATTATTATAAGTGTAATTTTATCATTATAATTGTATAAATAAATTATAATATAATAATTTAATGTAACTATTATGAATATTTTTTATCATTGAATATATATTGAAGTTTAAAAAATTAAAAATATGTTAAATTTCAATTATTATTAGTTTAATTATTGTTTTTTTGTATGATTTTGATGTGTTGTATTATAATTTTTATTAGCGTATAAAAGAAAAATTTCATTAGAATTCAACAAATTGAAATAAAGAGACATTTAAAATAACTTTTAATTCAAAAATTTGTTTTCCTTTCATATTTTTTAAATATTTTTAAATTATATAAACTAATTAACGTTTTCAAAATTAATAAATGTTTTGGTTTTCGTAAATATGTTACTTGGTGAGGAGGAGATGATACAAAATTTAATTTGGATAAATTTTTTCTTTGGAGATAGATATTGGATAATGAAATCTGGCCTTGCTTGATTTGTCCCTAAATCCTTCTCTTACCTTGCTTACATTCTTTAAAAGTTGTGTAGTGATAAAACATTGAATTATTTGCATTGTGGAATATCAGGTGTTGCATTAGTGTTGTGCCAATCGAATCCTGTTCTTAATGATGGTCATAGTAGAAATGAAGCAGTCATTGAAGGAGTCCGCAAACAGTTTATAGAAAAAATTGTTGCTGATCATGAAGAAGAAGGTGATGATTACTCAAGTGATTAACATTTCTTTTCTCTTTCTTGTGTTCTTTTCTTTGGAGGTGGCTGTGTTTCCAACTTTCATTTGCTCTCACTTTTAAAATTTTTCCTAAAAAAACACTAGTGCTAATGTTTAAGCATGTGTTGTATAGTAATGAGATGATTTTGTCAGCTACTATGTGTATCAAAGTGTTTTACTTTTTGTAAACTTATGAAGTCATGAACGATTCAATGAATGAAACACCTTTCAATTAAACATGAAATCCTCGAAATTGGTTTGGCTTTCAACAATGATATCTAAAACAAATTAATGTGCAATAAGATTAAATAATTTTAGAATTAAGTATGTTTTTTATCTTTAAATTATTTTAAAATATTGTATTTTTTCTAAACCAAATT